CAAATGAGGACCCGGATTGTTGTTGGGGGCAATATGTTGACTCTGTAAACCTCTTAAAGAGGGCTGTGAAAGTCCTGGGAAGCGGCATAAAGGTGCTAGTGCTCATGCCAGTGTTATTTATGGGCAAAGCTGACTCTCCTCTCCCCTCTGGTCTCCTCTGTTTTGTTTACTAGGCCCCGTGAGCCTTTCACAAAATGGAGACTTGCAACTTTACGGGTGGTTCTGTCCCATCCTTCTGGCTTGTCGGCTTCTCCAGCCTCCAGGAACACCAGTTCCTCCTCTTCTTCGTCTTCCTCGCCTTCTATCTGCTCATCCTCTCCAGCAACGTCACCGTCGTTGTGGCTGTAGCCACCGACGCCAAGCTCCACAAGCCCATGTACTTCTTCCTGATCAACCTTTCGGTCTTGGACGTCCTGCTGACCACCCTGACCATCCCCCGGATGCTGGCCATGTTCTTGGTCGACGCCAAGCGGGTCTCCTCCAAGGGGTGCTTCTTGCAGATGTACCTCTTCCACGGGCTGGCGGTGACGGAGACCTTCCTCCTGGTGGTGATGTCCTACGACCGCTACGAGGCCATCTGCCACCCCTTGCACTACGCGGTACGGATGACCAAGCGGAGGAACCTACGGCTGGCTGCGGGGGCGTGGCTCTGCGCGCTGCTAGTCCCCATCCAGCCAGTGGTCCAGTCCTCCCAGCTGACCTTCGGCGAGACGCCCAGGATCAACCACTGCTTCTGCGACCACTTGGCGGTGGTCCAGGCTGCGTGCCAAAATGCCCACACCACGTTCCAGAGTTTCCTGGGCTTTACCATTTCGATGGCCGTGGCCTTCGGCCCGCTGCTCCTGGTGGTCCTCTCCTATGCCTGCATCATGGTCTCCATCCTGCGGATCAAGTCCAAGGAAGGCCGCAGGAAGGCCTTCTCCACTTGCTTCTCCCACCTGGCGGTGGTCACCATCTACTACTCCTCCATTGCTCTGGCCTTTCTCTCCTACCGCGTCCAGATGCCCGGCGACATCCACATTCTGAGCGACATGACTTTTGCCATTTTAACCCCTTTGGTCAACCCTCTGATTTATACTCTGAGGAACAGGGACATCAAGAGGGCAGTGGGACAGCTGGCGTTCTCAAAAGTCTTCTCCATGCAGAAAGGGAGACTCCGTTTACGCCAAATGGGGTCGAAGGAGATTTAAAACCGTGTGTTTAATTCGTGTGGGTTTTCTATTAGTGGAGCCCTTTAACTTAAATTACATTCCGCCGCACCTAATTACATGCGGCTTGTTAGTCTCTGACTAAGAGCTGGTAAACTCTTGTATATTTTGGAGGGGCAGCTGGTTGAAAGCAGCATTAAAACATTGGACACTTTATCTTATGCCTATTGCACTGCATTATCGTAATTTCAGCTAGATATTATTTGTGCATCGAAAAGAATTGTTTTACATTTGCTGATAAGCTTGAGTTGAAGACAAGAGCCATCAGGATGAAGCCTGCAAGCATCTGGGCACTCTGCAGTTAGATAACGTCAAGCATGGACAAATTAAAAATGTGATTAATAAAAAAAATCGTAGAATCATACGACTGGAAGAGACCTTGGAGGTCTTCTAGTCCAACTCCTTGCTTGAACAGGAGACCTTATTCCATTCTGGACAAATAATAGTTCAATCTTTTCTTGAAAACCTTCAAACTTCTGGTGGCAAGCTGTTCCACTGGTTTATTGTTCTCACCGTCAGGAAATTCCTCATCAGTTTTAAGTTGCTTCTCTCCTTGGTTAGTTTCCATCCATTGCTTCTTGTCCTGCCTTCAGGGGCTTTGGAGAATAAGTTGATCCCCACTTCTCTGTGGCAGCCCCTCAAATATTGGAATACAGTTAACATGTTCCCCTTAGCCCTTCCCTTCATTAAACTAAACACACCGAATTCCTGCAACTGTTCATCATATGGTTTAACCTCCAGAGAACTAAATGAGAACTAAAGATGAAGTTCAAGATCACGTGAAGGGTTAATACCACTTTATAAGGCCTTGGGAAGGGCACACTTGGAATACGGCATCCAGTTTTAGTCACCATGATGTCAAAAAGATGTGGAGACTCTGGAAAGAGCGCAGAGAAGAGCAACAAAGAGGATTAGGGGACTGGAGGCTCAAACATATGAAGAA